TAAATTTTCATATCTACGTGCTTAGATACTCTTTTAATGGATATTCGTGCGAAAATCCCATATTTGAAAAAATCCTTGGGATAGTGGCAAAGTTTATTTATAGATACGTATGTATGTATCACACCAAATTCCTACTCTTACATGTTTTTTTTTTTGACGGAGTTATGATCCAAAATATTATATATAAGAAAATGGACTAAAATGGTCTGATCTGGCCATTTCAGGCAAATAATCGTTTAAATGTAACAGTGCATTTCTGTACCAAGCTTGGTTGAAGAGATACGAAAACTGAGTAATAAATTATTTTCTGTACCAACCTAACATGCATTTAAAGGAAATTGTACAAACACGAATATCGGTGCATCATACATGCCCAATACATTATTTTAAACTCCTAAAAATTTTCGCTCCCAATGGTTGAACCGCCTAATTAAATTATTTCCTATATCTACAATCAGATTATTTGTTTATATTCCGTCTGCCTAATACAATTTGCTTCTTCGTCTTTTTTAAATGAAAACAATTTAGAGGTTGTTCTGTTCTGTTCTGTACGCTGGCATTGTTCATTACAACAATAGTATCAATATGAACACCTACAACCCAAGTAATTGCTGCACATGGCGCACCTGCAGCCAATGCGGATTTTATGTCTGTGTTTCGTTGCTTCTTAATTATAAACAATTGGTAAAGGTAAACTACGTAATGAAAATATTCATAAACTTTCTTGGCGTTTTAAGTTTTTTTCTCATACTTCAAGTGCATAAAGCACCAATAGTGCCTGTTTCAGCCATTTTTGGTAATATTTATTATGCGCTCGCGCATGTTTGCTTTTCTAAGTATTGAAGGAAAAGCAAGATGGTGGTTTTGCTGAGAAATGCAGTATTGGTGGATGATTTCATAATCCGATAGCTGGGCGAGCCAGTTGATACCATGGACCTGCATACAAGTTTACTGATTGTGAGTTGTTCGAAAAACTGGACAACGAAAATCCCTCTTAGTTCCGTTTAGAAACGCGTTCTGCAGACAAAAATTGGAGAACTGTAAAATTAATAAGTGGCATTTGTGAATGAAGGAGCGAAAGGCGAAAATATTAAGAATATGTTGCTCAGAAAAATATTAGTAAATATTCATTAAAATTCCTACGACTTACAGAAACTTTTAAAGGGGTAAGAGTCTATGGAGATCGGAAAGTAATTACATGAAAATAACACCTTGTCCGCGAGCCATTATTGATGATAATTTTTATTTAATTAAAATAAATGAAAGTAAAAAAAATTGCAGAAATAACAGTTAGGCCGCATTGACAAGTAATAAAGTGATCTTAAAGGGAAAATCCCTCTTGTCGTTTTTACAACTGTCCACCGAAGACATGCTCGTACGAGTCACGACAAAGGCTCACGAGTTTGATATGCAAGCCAGCCAAAAAAATTTAGAGTGACATCTTCCAACTTAACCGATTCCGAAAAAAACTACGTCAAAGCCCATCAAAATTCAAGGAAATAGTGGATGTTTTCTATGATTATAGTGGTGTTGAAGGAAAATAAAATTCCTCTAAAAGATTATATTTTGGATGATTGCTTGGCCAAAAACTCTAAACCCACCTATAGCTCCAGCCAGCATTTAAAAAAAAAACTCAAATTACCACATCTAGGTTTCACATTTTACATTCTTCTTCTTTTAAGGGCATCATTTTAGTAACTTTTTAAATGCGATACCAAAAGAGACAGGCGCACCACTGACAATTGAAACAATTTTGCGATTTGCTTCTACTTAAATATGATATTCGGTTCCAGAAAATATGACTCTTTGGGAACAAATATGAATAGCATTGTTCCATCGACAATATGCTCAATCAGCACCCACAATACCATTAAATAGATTATGAGGATTCCTTCTAGACTTGAATGGAGAAAGAATTTTGTAGAGCTTTTTGCCATAAAAATCTATACCGATGGAAAATGGACTACGGTGTGGGTGCAGGGGCATATATGATGATCTACCAAATTCTGCTGGCATCCAAAAGGAAGTACTAAGTATTGAAAAGCCTAATAGATCGTTAATAAAAAAAGGGGATACGAAGGTAGCTACATACGCGGATATTGCTGACCTCTTTGTCGCCAGTGTTAAGCGCCGTCAACAACTGCTCTAAGGGCTCTAAACTCCCTGGCAGGTCAACTCGTCACCACCATAATGTGGATTCCCGGCCGTAAGAATATTTTCTTCAACAAAAAAGCTGACGAAGCTAAGTCTAGAGAATTTCTTGAGTATTCGAAAGCAGTTATAATATCATGTCCGTTAGGAACAACCCAGAAGAAGCTCCACTTGTAGTTTGCACATATATCGGTAACAGTTAAAAGTCCATATCCGACTGTAAGATAGCGAAACGGATCTGGCTCAGTTATGTCATACTCGAAGAACAAAGGATCTATTGAGAAGTTCAAAAAAAAAAATATATAAACTCACATGACCTCTAACGATGGTGCTTAGTCCATTGGAGAGCAGGGCCCTATCCTATAACAGCCGTTGCATTTCATATTTTCATAAATTTGTTGGTATTTTCTTTGAGAACCTACCACTAATAAAGACCTCTTTCTATAGACAAATAAAAGCTCTGATAGAGTTTTTGGCACATCTCTTTTGAAAAATTTGAAGATATTTGCTATATAAGTTCCTGTTTTTTTCAGAGTTTTACCTATGGTTTTATGTAAAGGGTGCTTTTTTTGTTTAGATGTGTGGTTTTTAATGAAGCAATGGCTCTTTCGGTAGATAGCTTTTTGATAGCTTTTACTTGAATTATACTCAATTTGGTTTGCGTCGTTTAGAGTGATGATAATCCAAGAGCTATTATTGAGATGCCATTACATCCTCAAAGAGTCGGTTTTTTCTATGGAAAGAAGGAAACTTTAGTCAATATTTCAGCAAAAGTGAAGCCGACCATAATGTTCTCTTCGATGAGGAACGCGAGATATCCCTGGTTAATAACCTTTGCATACCTAAATTGGGTGATGTTGATGTGAACGTCCTTTGGTTCCAACAAAATAATATTTTTTTTTTAAAGAACCTTTTGTTGAGCGCATTATCTTGCGTCCCAGGCCTGTAGTGAGATTTATTGGTGTATGAATTAATTCGTGCGGTTTTCTAAGAGAGGGCTCTAATAGTATTATTTCGCGTCGTGTCCATCTGTGGCTATATTCATTTCAAAGGTCATTCCGCGTCGTTTTCAGTAGATGTCATTTATTTTAGCGTAAACAACAAATTGTTTCATTAATTTGAAAATGTCGAAATTTGTACCGGGTAAAGTGTTTTTGCGGGGAGTTCTTCTTCACAACTTTAACATGAAGGAAAGTGCTACCGAAAGCCATCGTATTTTACTGGACGTTTATGGCGACCATGCTTTAGACGAACGAACGTGCCAAAAGTGGTTTACACAGTTTTAAAGTGGCAATTTCCACTTAGACGACAGAGAAAGACCCGGACTGCCAAAAAATTTCAAGACGAAGAATTGCAGACATTGCTTGACGCAGATGCATGCCAGACGCAAGCGGAACTTGCATTAGGAGTTGATCAAGTAACCGTTTCCAGATGATTAAAATCATTAGGATTCATCCAGGAGCTTGGAAATTTCGTCCCTTATGAATTAAAGCCAAAATACTTCGAACGCCGATTCTGCATGTCGGAAATGTTGCTTCAACGACACCAAAAGAAGTAATAATTGCATCGGATTGTCACTGGCGTTGAAAAATGAATTCATTATGATAACCCAAAGCGCAAAAGATCGTATGTGAAACCCGGCCAACCATCGACATCTACGGCAAAGCTATGATGCCAAGGTTAGGCTATGTATTTGGTGGGAACACAAGGGTGTGCTCTGATATGAGCTATTGAATTGGGTGAGACGATCAATGGGGATCACTACCGAAAATAATTGATTCATTTGCAAAAGGCCTTCGCGGAAAAACGACCAGAATATGCGAATATTTGATAAACTGTGATTGGGAGGTTCTACCTCACCCGCCTTATAGCCCAGGCATAGCACCATCCGATTTCTACTTGCTCAGATTAATGCAGAAAGTCCTCGCCAGAGTACGCTTCACTTCAGAACAAGGCATCAGAAATAGGCTCGATTCTTTCTTGACCTCCAAGCAGGAGAAGTTCTTTTGTGATGGGATCCACAAACAGCCAGAAAGGTGGGCAAACATCGTTTTTTTTAATGGGCAATACTTTTAATATAAAAAAAAAAACATTTTTTTAAAATAAAGTCTTAATTTTCGAAAAAAAAAACCGCACGAATTAATGCATACACCCAATAACACCGCTGGACTATCTTTCGTGTGGTTATATAAAGTCCCTTGTCTACGCAGATAAGCCCTCGACGATTAACATCTTGGAAAAGATAATTGCTGCAAAAAGTCCTCGAAAATTGAGCCTCTCGGCTGGAATTTGATCCTGTCAGCCGTGGCCTTTTATTGCTTCTTGAAAACCACATATCTAAGAAAAACACCCTTTACATTTGTAAGCAAGAAATAAATCCCTTTGTGCCCGTGCATGTCAAAACAGAAAACTAATAATTCATTTGTTAATTCGTATTAGAAGAATATATTTAATTTATTTTACACTTCAATATTTTATATAAATATTTACATTCATTGTGATGATTTCTTAAGCTACGAATGATATTACACAGCAGATGGCATAAAATTTAATATCTCGCTAATATAACTAAAAATAAATTAAGAAATTTTTAAACAAAATTTGAAATAAATTAACTATAATGTAAACATAAATTTATAATTATACTTAAATTATAAACAAAATCATTTAAATTACGTTAGTTTTGGTTGATTGACTAAGTACGATGCTTTGGGAAAATATGGAAAACTTACATACATACATAATTGACTGTCACAAATTAATACTTTTTCACTTGATTATAAATAGAAATAATTATTATTATTTCTCTTTATTGCACTTACATATAGTATGTATATTATTAAAAAAAAAAAATAATTAATAATAATAAAAATAATTGTTGCCAATTTTCACTTTTCACTGGTTTTAAAATCACTGCACGCACTGCCCATGAAATATTTACCTCGGCACCAAGTCCATATAACCATTGGGACGCATCATCTGATGCGGTGATCCATAAAAGGATTGGTAGCTACTGATGCCGTAAGCATTTGCAGCCGCCGCTGAAGCCATCGCTGTTGGACTGCCCGCCGCTGACGCCGGCGATTGGCGCATATGACTCGTCACCTTCAGCTTGTCATACGGACTCCCATAGCCGCTGTGGTAGTGTTGATGATGATAGATTGCACCAAAGTTGCTATTCTCACCCGCATATGGCTGACCGATGGTGGAGTAAATATTCGCGGCCATCACCTGCGTGTGTGGCACATGTGGCGACTGCGACACTGCTGTCGACATCATTTGACTTTGAGCGGCAGCGGCGGCGCTGAGATTCATATTCAAGTGTGTGTGATGTGTGTGGGCGGCATGTGCATGTGTGTGTGGCATAAGCCCGCCGGTATTTGTAGCACCACTGCTATTGTTGTGTGCGGTAATTGCGGTCTGTGTGTAAGGATTGGAAACTCCACTGACTACAGTGGCAGCAGTGATGCTTGAGGCATTGCCTGCAACTGTTGTGACATGCTCAAGTTTCGGTGACAGACTATGTTGGCCGTGCTGATGATGCGGATGATGATGATGATGCGGAAGATGCCCACCGCCATTAGTTGTTGGCATTAAACTATTACCCATGCCATGACCATTTATACTGCTGCCGCTGCCGCTGCCAGTGCCGCCGCCACTGGAGAGACATTGCTGGTAGGATAACAGCTCGGGTGATGTATTGGCAGTCATGGGCACGTTTGTTGGGGAATCGCTTACTGTTTGAATCACATGTGCAGAGATCAATGCGTTCTGTTGGTTTTCCAATTCAGCCACTGCTGCAAGCAAAAGAGGGAGAGAAGAAGTGAAAAGTGGATAAGTAAATATTTAAGAGAGAAAAAATTAATTATGAATTGTTTTAAATGCAAGTGTTGATAGATTTACGAAGAGTCGCTGAGTGCTTTACTGCCAGAGGGGAATATACTCATTTCATATATAATATAACATATACATACTCGTACATATATTCATGGATATTTTGGCATAAATATCTTACGAAAATATGCGCGTTCATCAATATGAAAAATACACATTTTATAAATCTCTCTTATAATGTACAGTATGTTTCACGCGAAGATGGGTCCGGTTTGTATATATGTATGTCGGAAATGTTCTGATTTTATCGGAATCGGAATTAATCGGAATGGCATAATCATGTTCTGTAAGCCTAATGCACTTAATATATCGGAATCTATAATCCAATCCGATTATTACCGCCAGATTCGAACAGAAACGGACGGCAGTGTGAGGTTTGCCTAGATTTTATGAGATCTATTTTTTGGACACAATTAAAGGTTGCGCCAGGAACAATTGATTATAACTATTACCCTCTTTTAACGCTCTATACCGCTCATTCCCAATAGGACTGTTGAACAACTTTTTAATACCGTATTAGAAATGCGAAATTAATTCCGATCATATTTTGGAAAGGTGCCATATACAATAATTAAGATGTTCTTTGATCATTATGAAATCAAACGAAGTTTGCAGTTCGCTTTCGAGTGATTTGTATTCGGCAAAATGCCCTTTCAAACGTTATTTGATGTACGAGCTCTTTGCTTTTATTTGGAATGTTAAACGTAAGGCTAGAAGCCTCTCGGAAACGTTCTCCATGAGCGACTGCTGATAACGTTTTGATTCTTTAAACGATAACGATACGATACGAATGTCTATTCGGCTCGAAATTGGCTCTCGAATCGATATAAACTTTTCGAGTAAAGGTCGAGTAATCGTTCTTGAACTCATTTCACAATCAATAGAATTAAAATAGAAGATCATTTGAGTCTATATTTAATAGCCAATTACTATTTCTTGACAATTTCCTTTTCCGAACTACTGAAATCTTAAACATGATTTTAGGCCACTGACTTAAAAGGAGTATTAAGAAATGTTGTGAAAGAGTTCGGTCGCAAGATATTGACTTAGACAGAAAACCTGTTTATCTAGAAAATAGTGCAGAATTTGGATCTGCAAAGGAATGGTCTCTAAAGCCCTTTATTTTAAGTAAATTAAGCGAAAAATAATCTATTTACGATAAATGTCTATTGAGTGCAGACAATAACTCCAATGGCATACGTTGGGAGAAAGATATTACGGTAATCGGTTGATTTTATTTAATTTTTTTTTCAATTTCACTTAAATTTAATATTTTTAATTATACTTTATTTCAGTTTTTTATTTAATTTATTTTTTTTTTAGTTTACTTAGTTTTGTTTTAAAATTTAATTTTATTATTTTATTTTAGTTTTTTTTGGCAACTTAATTTATTTTTGTTTAGATTAATTTGACTCTATTTTATCATTTCAAATTTATATAATTTTATTTTATCCCATAATTTTTTTATATTAAATTAAATTTTGCTTTATTTTTTTTTTTGTAATTTAATTTGACGTTATTTTATATTATTCATTTTTTTTAGTTTACTTAGTTTTATTTTAAAATTTAATTTTTTTTTTTAATTTTAGTTTTTTTTGTCGACTTATTTTATTTTAATTCAGTTTAATTTTACTTTACTTTATCATTTTTTAGCTTAATTTAAATTTTATATGTTTAATAAAATGTAATTTAGATTAGTTTCAGATTGTGTTATTTAATTTTATTTTATTTAATATTTGCTTTAAATCAGATTAAATTTTGCTTAATTTAATTTAGTGTAATTTAATGTGAGACTATTTCATTTATTATACTATACTTTATGTATTATACTTTATTTATTTATTTTTTCTATTTTAATTTTTTTCCCCCTTTAATTTTATTTAATTTTTTAATTTTTTTTTTTAATTTAAGGTAATTTAATGATTATTTCATGTTACTTTAATGTATTTCGGCCATAGCGTCGTGGTTAGGAGTCCATGCAACTATTTAGCTGATTTATATTTTATTTGATTTGATTTAGCATAATTTAAATTATTTTTGGTTAATTTTTTATGTATTATATTTATTATTTTAGTTTGTTTTTTAATTCTATTTTTTTTTACTTCATATATGTATATAATCGGCGCTTTGTAGCCGGTGAAGCGAGTTTCGACCGAGCTCCTCTTCCAATTTGTAGCTTTGCGTCTTTATATGTTTTTCCCAACAGTTTATAATAGGCCGCCTCCAAACGGCTTTTTCATGAGGAGCCTTTATTTAATGTCAGAAATAAAATCAGAGGGGTTGTCATTCCTTGCGGAGGGGCGATCGCTTGCTTAATTTTTTATTTAAATCAATTTTGTATAACTTTCGGATGTTGGTCGCACTGGAATTTGAACGCTGGCCTTCTTTTTTTCATAAAGAAATGCTAAACACTCTACGCGGCCGCCTTTTTTTACTTTACTTTAAATTATTTTATTGTTTCTTAATTAAATTTTATTTCACTTTTTTAAATTTCTTTTATTTTTGACTTTTTTAATTTATTTTATTTCTTTTACATTTCTTTTTTAATTTATATAACTAATTTTATTTTTGTCTTTTTTCATTTTATTTTATTTATATTTTTTTTTAATTTAAATTTATTTCTTTTATTTTTGTTTAAATATTTATATTTATTTTTTATTTTATTTTAATTAATTTTATTATATTATAATTAAATTTTATTTTGTTTCATTTTTGATTTTGTTTTAATTTATTTCATTTCCTTTATATTTTTATTTATTTAAATGGTCTTATTTTTATTTTATGTCATTTAATTCTATTTTAATTTTTTTATTTAATTAAATTAAATTTTATTTATTTGATTTTTGATTTTTAATTTTATTTTAATTTATTTTATTATTTTTGAATTAAATTTTATTTTTCGCTAGCTTTTATTATTTTATCTTTAATTTCTCTAATTTATTTTTAGGTTATTTACGTTTATTTTGTTTATTGTATTTTACCCGATTTTATTTTATTTTGTTGCATTTCATACTTACCTAAATTCACATCTTTACTATTCGCTTTCAATTGTTGTTGCTGTGCGTGTAGATGTTGCTGTTGCTGATGATGGTGATGATGATGATGCTGCTGCGCGTTGTGCTGCTTCATTCTAGCCTGACTCTCCTGACTCATCTGAGACATGCCCATAGAGCCAGCAGTGCTGAAAAAATGTGGAAAAATAGAAATAATAAATATTTAATTTAATTATGAACATTCAATTTTATTTATTTAATAAAAATTCGTATGTTATGTGTGCCGTATTCCATACACTTGTGCATATTTATGTATGTATTTTGCGCATTTTTTTAATATTTTAAATAAAGTAATTGGTTGCTGTCTTTTTGGGTCAATTGCTTCTTGTTGTAAACAAAATTCTCATCTTCCCGAATATTTTGTATATTCTTTTGAATCAATTTTTTTTCTTTTGTAAAAAATATTATGCTAAATAAATAAGAAATAGATATTCTTGTTTATTCAAGCGGAAATTACCCAAATTTGAACCTCTATCAATCAACTTCTCTCGTGTATCTCCAAACTGCCGCTATTTCTTTTAAATATTTCGAATTTTGTTTATATTTGTCCTCAAAAAATGTTGCGAAGCCTGCACTTTGGAATAATACAAACAAATTTTCAAACTAAGCAAATGAGAAATATAAGCCAAAATAGTTACACATTTCTCGGAATTACTTAAGAACTGTTTCTGTTATATTACGCATATATATATATGCATATGTACATACATAAATATGTATGAAAGTACTTATAAAATCAACATTTAAAATATGATGCGCCTGACTTTTGAAAATGATTTGTTTGTAATTTAGAACTCAATGCCTTTTGTTGCAACACACACATACACACACACACACCCTTTGCGCCCACCTAACCTCGCCATTGCATACTCGTACAGCTGGCGCTAGTGCCAAAGAACATGTTGCATGACGCCCTTTTGACTTTATTGTTGTTTTTTAATCCACTTGCTTGCCGACGTGGTCGTCGTCACTACGTCTGATATTTCGTTCAGATTTTTTTTTTGTTGTAATCATTAAATGGGTCAAGTTATCAACACGAATAAAAGCTTATGTGATATCATAAACAATGTTTTATTGTAGAAAAATTATGTGTTCAAATGATGTTTGTATGTTTGGAAATGTGCATATGCACATGCATATGTACATATTTATATATGTAAGACAACATCAAAGTCATAAGTTGTATATTTTACGTTTAAAGAAAACTTAGATCTATTAATTTATATGTATGTTTGTATAATATTGCCTGTTGACACATTGTTTTGACATTTTTTATGCTTAATTAAATAAATCAAATACTCACACATCATTGGTGCCATCATCACGGAAGCCTTTAGCAAAGGGATTACTAACAATTTTTAGTTGAGTCACCTGAAATTTAATAATGAAAAAGAAAATTGCTATGAAATTCTATATTTGTTATTTGGATAATAATTATAATTAATAAATAAGAAAGTGCATGTTGGGGTGGAACCGAATATTATATCGAAGCGTATCTATATGGACATAGGCGCTGTGGCAATATAATCTATTATGTATTAGTCAATGTGCTCATATTAATCATGTCTGTTATGAAGGTTGAATTTTCATACAGTTGTACTAAAGATACCCTCATTGCTCATTCTGGTCTTAAAGTCGCCAAGCGCAACAGAGGAAGCTCTCATAAAAGAAAACTTTGGTCATATCGTTCTTCTCTTGCATGCAAGTGTGTGCGGAAATCAGCTATGCCTTGAAAATCTTAGCTGGTATTGGGATCGCAATTAGATGTTCATTTTTCGGGATGAATAATATGATCCGACGCCTTATTTTATTTCTTTTATTGTATATTGGTTTGTTTTAATTTATGTTATTTTATTTTATTTTATTTTCTTTATTTATTTTTTATTTTATTTTATTTTACTTGACTCTTATTATTTTATTTTATTATAATTCATTTTATTTTATTTCAATCTCTTTATTTTATTTAATATTAGTTCATTTATTTACTTTTTATTTTTGTTAACTTTTTTACTTTATTTTATTTTAATTCATTTTATTTTTACTTTATTTTATTTTGGTTAATATATTTAGTTTAAATCATTTTATTTTTGTTCTGTTTTATTTTAATTTAGTTTATTTCCTTTTACTTTATTTTAATTAAGTTTATATTAATTTTTTTGATCATTTTATTTAACTTTAATTTGTTATAATTCAATTATCTCATATTAGTTTATTGTGCTTTATTTTTTTTTAGTTATAGTTTATTTCATTTAATTTTATTATTATTTATTATTTACAACATCTACTTTATTTTATCTTCATTTTTTTAAAATAGATTTACTTTTTCAATTCTTTTATTTTAGTTTATTTTATTTTCTTTCCTTATGTTTTATTTTATTTTGTATCCTATTTCATTTTATTTATTTTTTATTCTATTTTATTTTATTTTGCTTTAATTTGTTATAATTCTTATTATCTTATTTTATATTAGTTTATTTCATTTAATTATTTTGTTTACTTAATATATTTTTATTTATTGTAAATCAATTTTTTATTTTTTTATTATTTTTTTCTATTTCGTTTTATTTTAGTTTATTTATTTATTTTAGTTTATTTTTATTAATTTTGCTTTTGTTTTATTTTTTATCCTATTTTAATTTATTTTATTATAGTTCATAATATTTTATTCTAATCCATTTCATTTGACTTGGCTTTATTTTATTTTAATTTATTTTATTTCAATTAATATTAATATTATTTATTATTTACAACATATACTTTATTTTATCTTCATTTTGTTTTATTTTATTTTGTATCCTATTTCATTTTATTTATTTTGCTTTAATTTGTTATAATTATTATTATCTTATTTTATATTAGTTTATTTATTTATTTTAGTTTGTTTTAATTTATTTTGTTTTTTTTTTTTATTTTTTATCCTATTTAAATTTATTTTATTTTAGTTTATTTTATTTTATTTAATTTTTTAATATTTATTATTTACCATATTCTCTTTATTTTGCCTTCATTTTAACATAAAAAAATTTATTTTTTTAATTCTTTTATTTTGGTTTATTTTATTATGTTTTATTTATTTATTTTTTTCTATTTTGTTTTGTTTTCCTTTGTTTTATTTTAAATCATTCCTCTTCTTTTTCTTTTTTAATTAAATTATTTAATTTTTTAATTTTATCCCCTTTTTATTTTTTTTGTTTTATTATTTATAGAATTTATGTTGTTTTAAATTTTTTTATTTTATTTTATTTGAAGTATTTTATTTTATTTTAATTTAGTTTCTCTTATTTTCTTCTGCTTTATTATAGTGTATTTTATTTTTTATCTTATTTCTTTTTTTTTATTTAATATTTTATTCTATTTTATTTTATTTCTTTTTTTTATTTTAAATAATTTTTATTTTATTTTTAAATTTATTTTTTTAATTTAATTTAATTTATTTTTCTTTTAATCTATTTGACTTTTATTTTATTTTTTATTGTATTTAATTTTTTTTTGAAAGCTCAGTTTACGAATTTGTTTTCTAAAAGCTCGTTTATATATAGTAAATGTCAAAAAGGGCCTATACTTTACAGTGCTTGTCACGTCCATGACAAATCTTCAACAGTGATGACGTCAGCCTTTAGTCTCCCAGCAGTGCAGCGAAACCTTTCCCATTAAAGGACCGGATGTTTCAAATATACATATGTGCTTACCGCCAAGCCCAACTGAAAGTGAACCTCTTATCTCAAGACCGACACCGCTCGTAGCAGCACGTCTGATAAGCAGTCGAATATATCACGTTTGGCTCCCGAGACTTTGTCGAAATTCATAACTTTGAAGCCGCAGTTTTGGTATTTGGTACGGTAGAATGGACGTGGAAAATATTCTGCGAACGATTTGTGGACCGGAATATAGTAGATTATGGAACTATGAGTTGTATAAAGTATATTGTCGTCTGAAATCGAATCAGTTCCATTTTTACAGAGACGTGTCAACACAGTTTCGAAGTTAATCATGCATTTTGAACTTTTACATATTTCCTTAATTATTGAATTTTGTAAAAAATCATAGGCATTTTGTTGGATTGAAGTATTTTGGTACAGGCCAGGCGGGGGAAAAATCCCGCTCACTTATATATTATTTAGGTATGTGTGCTATTAAAATGGTGGCGGCCATACGATATTAGACTTTAAAAGAGTGATGGTTGTCTTAAAAACTCCCCATCATTTATTTACACAGACAATAAATTTTAAATGTATATTCTGCAGTTTCGTTAAACATATAGAATCATTCCTACAGTACGTAAATGTGTGTATTTCAAATTATCGAAATAATGATTGCAATAAATTCTTCTGCACAATTGAACGTAAAGCGAAAAAAAATTGAAAACAAAAGCAAAAGAAGATTCCAAAATGGAATGGCACAAAAATGTATGAATGGCTAAAACACATGTTGTCTATAGCTTCCGATTGCCTAACGGCGTATGAAAATCTGGAAACAAACAATAAGAACATTCAGTAATCAAAAATGTTTTGAATTTGAGGAATTTGAATATGTTGGAATGGTCAAACGATGGACGGGAAATTTGCTGAAAAGTTCTCCGGCATTGTAAACATCAGACATTTTAGAATATTACTTGTTTGTATGTGCATTTATATGTATTTATATACAATTAATTTAAACTATGCCAAAGAAATCTGAGGAATTCAGAGCACATTTTAATTACAGACACTTATTTTGAATGGATTAGACTTACCCGCTGATTTTGATAGGCAGTGACGGCGGTAAATGATGTCTCCGGAAATATGAATGTGCGGAAATGACTTGAATGCTCATTTTCATCTAATGAATTATTCTTTGGTGGCAGGTAAACGATGTGAAATCGTGGCTGATATCTGTGCATCGAATTTAAAATTATCTGTGGGCGAAAAAAGGCAACAAATATATTTAAATTAAAAACCTTAAGTACACTTTTTCAGAACTGAAGTATTCTACATATGGCCCCAGGAATAGACCCATCTTCCTCTTCTTCGACACTGCTATCTATATCCGAAATATCAAGCGAATCGTTGGCAGGTCTACTTCCCGTAAATAAAAGCTATTTACTTGTTTATCTATGGGTGGTGTCCTCTCCTCGCTACTGTTTAGTTTTTACATATCGAAACTGCCTCCTTTACCAGGAGGAGTTTCCCTAACCTCGTAGGCTGATGATTACACGATAATGGCGTCAGGCCAGAATTTTGATGACCTCTGTTCGAAAGTGATCTGAATGAACCTTGCCGATCTTTCTCACTTCTTCATTGCACGACAATTGAAAATACAGTCGACCAAATCCTCGGCAACCCTCTTCACCAGCTGGACGAGGGGAGTTCAGGATTGAACTAGATGTGAAGATCGATGAAGTAAAAATTCCGACTTTAAAAAACCCAAAGATATTGGGAGTGACACTAGACAGCCTGCACTCCTCACTCCGCATACGACCGCGATTGCCGCGAATCTACAGAACCGCAACAAAATACTCAAAGCGCTAACCAACAGCCCCTGAGGTAAATACAAGGAAACTTTGCTGGCAACTTATAAAGCAATTAGGCGACCGGTCAATCTGGGCGCCGGAGACGAACGAGACGCAAATGAAGAAGCTAAAGGCTTGTCAGAAAACCGCCGTCAGGACTGCGACAGGAAAGCAGTTCCGCAGGGATCACCCCAATAGGCAGGGATCACCCCAATAGGCAGGGATCACCCCAATAGGCACCTAATAGCCGAACCTCCACCAAGGCACTTCAGAAAGGCAACATGTACCACAATCGCTGGACAGGACGGCGTAAAGATAGGCACTGAACGCCATTCACCAGGAGTCAGTCAACATCTTCAAATACTCCCAGTGAATGGCGTGCTCGGAGTAAAAACCAACACCCATTGCAGACAACGAGCTCGAGCTGTTCCGAGATACCCGCGTGACCTTGGCTCAACTTAGGTCTGGATACTCTAGCAGGTTGAATTCTTACTTTTTCCCAACAAAAGAAGTGAAATGCAGGCTATTCTAAGGCGTCTCCGAACGGCCAGCGGATTTTTATAAAGAGAAATAAAAGTTCAGAAGTACGCACAGAGGGTTTGACATCCCCTGCAGAGGGGCCTAGATCGTACTGTTCCTCGTATTTCACCAACGAGCGCTGCTTCGAATACTTTCAAAGCCAGCCTAGTCACCAGCAGTTTATAATATATTTTCTCCTAGGTTTTGTATTATTTCCTCCAACAATAAGTTAAGGTACTCATGCAATAAATTGTCCTTGTCTAGAAAGGATAGATGATGGCTGGACCTTGTTTGGTATCGAAAGGCTAAGCTAAAGGTCTTTCCTAGTTCTGCATGCTCTTCTGGCATTGGACAGATTCAGTTTGCACAGACGAATAAAAAAAAAATAGACACCAAACTCAGACAGTTTTAAAATCAATAAAAAAAATGGTGTTTCTTATTCCACTGGTCTTTTCCGTGATTTCGCTGTAGATGATAAGGTCCACTCAGTTCATTGAAGGTGAGCAGTAATATTTCACACCGTTCGCTGGATAAGACCATATATCCGATATTGTGAAGCTTATTGACGTTTTGAGTATGCGTGGCCCCTTTTTAGATTGGACAAAGCACACTTAGATTTGTGAGATTCTTCGGTGCCATATTTGAATAGGTCAAGAACCACGAACACTCGGATACCTTGTGTTGCCTATCAGAGCCATTCAGAAGCTAGATAAGCCTAGCATGAACTGGTATTCGGCCTCAAGAACACCTTCTTGATCTTGAAACTTTCTGTAAATAGTCGCTACATTTCTCTGCCGACCACCCTTCCAGAGTCTTATAATAACTTATAACTTTTTAGTGGTACTATGTCATACACGAACGTCTCGGGCCATTGAACGAAAAAAAAACAAAATCTCTTTTCCTTCTAAACAGAACAGCCATGAGCATAATAACCCGACAATGTCTAAAGGGGAAAGACGGATTGCAGCTGCTGGGGCAAAAACGAGGAAGTTTCGGTAGAGCACTACCTCTGCCACTACCCAAACTACATTGCCGTAATTTTTACTTTTTACTGCTTCAACAAATGCACTTAATGGTTCGAACATTAAGGAAAATGAGATGAATCTCCTCAAATGCACCCCTATATGTATCACAACGGGTAAATAGGCCCAAGTGAGCTTGATAAAGTTTCCATGATCGTGCAACCTCAGCAACTAACTAACTAATCTCACAGCCCAGCTGGCATTAGAACGCTATACCATATCAAAAGTGGCGATGAAATGTAGTAAAGCTCTGAATAGGCTCTTGCATAAGCAGAGCAGCAAGATCCTAGACTGGGTACCCTGAAGTGGAGATCTTGTATATATATGTACAGAAGGCAACTTCGCAGCGAACGGTTATACCGGCTATCTCAGCAAAGCGTGTGCTAAAACTAGTATTTGCTTAAGAGGCCAATAACAAATGGCGTTTTCAAGGAAGGTAGATCTAGCCAGCGCTGGATGCTAAAGGGTTAAGGCTTTTACTGCTACCATAGTGAGTGGCTCCCCAACAGTATAACAACTGACATAATAAATAATAAAAAACCACTGCTTAAAGGAGCTTCAATTACACTTGCCGCAGTTGCAGCGACAAGAAGAAGGAAACCCCGCTTTTTTCGGAAAAGCCGAACACGAATGTCTCAGGCATTAGCTGACCAGCAAACCAAAAACAAAACAAAGGGTTTATTAACTCATATAGGAAGCACTGAAAGGGTAAGGATCGGTGCGCAAAACGATCTGATTTCGATGGCTTCCGCAGAAAAATATTCTTAAGCTAAAAATAAAAATTCAATAATTACAAATCTGACCAAAAACAAAAAACAAAAAACTTTATGCATGTATATTCAGAGTTCGAGTGAAATCAATAAACTCTTCAGCTTTCAACGCCCAAGAATCACTTGCACACAAAACTATTAAACAATTGCTTTCCACTACACTCATTTTGCTAAATGATTTCGATTTTATTTGTTTTATTTTTTTTTTCTTTTTGAAACACATTTATTTTTATATGCCTGCACACATTTTTAGAATGTTTATTTATTCGCATAAAAATGTGTAAGCGAAATTCCATTTCATGAAGCTTCCACTATGCGGGAAAGAAATGGCCGCCAGGCAGCCAGCCAGTTAGCCAGCCGTTGGCAAATAAATCTTTCGAAACCACTTAAGAAATATTTCCAAATTTACATTTTTACATATAACATACACATAAACATATATATTGTACGAATTACACTTGCCACTTACATGCCCATTTTCATCCAGTTGGTTGTTGGTCAGTTTAAGTTTGTCAAATAAAATGATTTGTTTCATCCAATTAGCACCTGGTGCTGGCGAATCGGGGTGTACGTGTATGCGCGGCGGGGAGATGGGATCCGCTTTGCCAGCGACTACCCAACTTGAGCTGTCAATTGAGAAAATATTATACTTATTATTATAAACTTAACGCGTTTTTATTGTAAGTTTCAATGAAGACTAAGCATATAAAATTATATCCTCGAAGATTTTGCATATAAATTTAAATTAAATTAAATTAAAGTGAAAGTCTTAATACATACGAGGGAGCTTTTATATGTACGTGGAATGTGGGTGTTGTAGGGGGGTGAAAAAAAGTGAAATATGAAAAAAAAATCTAATATCGTGTGATTTTGGTTGCTTACCTACCAAACAAGGAAAATCGTGTGGGGTCATAATGTAGGAGATGTGATTGGTCTGGTCCGTGAAAACCATAATTTACAGGTGGCACATTGTAATTAAACAAGGAAGGCGACCCGTGGCCGAGCAGGAACGCCGAAGTGACCAGAGCTTATCCAAATCAACTCTGCTCGACTAAAGAAGAAACAATTCGTAGAAATGCTTAAAGTAACTGCTACAACAATTTTGAAAACCCCTCATGATCTTCTTGGCATGAGTTTTTTTTTTGCAGGATGTGAACCGAGAATTCTTACCCCTTCTTTTTTTTTGGAACGCTGTAATGACGAGAAGGATGGTGTGTTAAGTCGATTTGTTACTGGAGACGAAACTTGGGCTCGTCATTATTGACCTCAGTGGAAGCAAGACCCCATGCATTGGCATAAAAAAGGCAACTCTCAAGAAGTTTAAGGTGTCAAAGTCAGGTGGAAAACTCACGGCAATGTTCTTTTGGGACGGAACTTTATTAAGCGATAAAAAAATACAAGTGTTCTTATAACTGAGAATACTAGGTTTCAATATTAGATCTATTTAAATAAGTTATTTAAGAGAATATGGATGATTTAAGAGAATGTGGATTATTAAAGAGAAAAGACGCGGAATATCGACAAAAGGTGCTGGTTTTGCACGGCAATTCTACGTTACGTTGGATGCACCGTATAAGGGAGTTTCGATATTTTGAATCAACCACACCTACAGTCCAGACCAGTTTCTTATTAATGAAAAAAAAGCTGAAATTTTTTTAAAAGGATGGGAAAAAAAGGGATAAAGAGAACCATTTTTTTAATGAGGGTACAAAAAAATTATTTAAAAGATCTGAAAATGTATCCGTCAAGCAGTTGAATGTATTGAAAAGGAAAAATAATTACTTGATTTCCATCTCTTTTCTCGCATTCCGCGCACATAAAAACGCTCCTTCGTATATCATTTAAAAAATTTTGAATTTTTTAGTGCGAATAATTAAATCATCAATCAATTAAAAAAATATTCTCTACCTACTCAACGCTTTCGCCATTTAATACTCACTTGTGGAATGCATAGCGATAGCGCTTATCATCGACCGGCACGAAATCCATCATCATTATATAGGTCGCCTGCGGATCCAGACCACCGATTCGCACCTGAAATGTTGGAAACATACGCCGGCCGGTCTTTGTGACAATCATTTCAGTGCCTTGTTCGTGAAATTTATCCCATAAAGCTTTCGTTTCCAGCACAACAACGGCCTGAGCCAGTGTTGGATGCATGGGTTCTTCCTGTTAAATACAAATAGTCAAAAAAAAGCAAAAATCCAAAAGTTTATTCGGAGAAAATATGTAAAATATAAAATATTTTATTCCAACTGTCATGAAGACACACATTTTAAAGAGAATTTCTGAATTTTACTAATTAAAATATTCAAAAAAATGCGGTTGTGACGTCCTTTCCGACGGCCGCTCAGAAAAAAAGTGCATCTGCGTTCAAAGTAAATCTCATTACAGGATCAACCGAAATGAAGAAAATCGTGGTTTAGTTAACTACATAAACTAGAAAAAAAACGCAGTGAAATAAAAAATGTGAAAATTCAAATTTAAAAATTTTTTTTATACATGTGCAAATTTTTTTTTTGGTATAATTTGCTCAAAATTTTTTTTAAATAGTTGTGATTGGAAAGAATAATCATCGTGGATTCTATCTCTAATACCTATGTAAAATTCCATCAAGATGGCTTGAGTGGTTTTCGAGAACACGCGAGAACGCGTTTAAATTTCATAACGCTGAGCCTAAGTCTTTAAGCGCAAATCTTAAAAATTTAGGATAATATTCACGATATTCGCTGAAGCGATTTTTCGGCCGAGCTCCTCCTCCAATTTGAGGTTTTGCGTCTTGATGTTTTTTTTTGCCAACAAATGGAGGGGCCTTCAGTTTATACTAAGGCGCCTTCCAACGGCTGATGGTTTTTTACGAGGAGCTTTATTTCATGTCAAAAATACACTCCGAGTGGCGACCGCAATTAGAATTTCTTTTTTTAAATTACAATTAGAATTTTTTTTAATTATAAATTAAAATTAATTTTTTATTTAAATTAATTTTCTTTTGCTTTTGGATGTTGTTAGTATGGCGATTTGAACCCGACTCGGGTTTCCGATTGAAATTTTTTATAGAACAATAAAAAAATATTGAAATTTTTGTAGCTATGATAGCCACGTAATTCCTTAAATCCCTCCAAGCTCAAACGATACTCACACTTTTGTTATTATTATTATTATTGTTGTTGCTATTACTATTTGTTGTAGCATCCTTTGTTGTTGTTGTTGTTGTTGTACTTTGTGTTGTTATACTGCTGTTGTTGTTGTTGTTGTTGTTGCTGCCGTTGCCACCGCCTTCATTGCTAGTGCTGTAATTTCCAGTGCTGTTGTTGTTGCTTTCCGAACAACTACTGCCCGTGTTGCTACTAATACTGTTGCCACCGCTGCTATTATTACTCTGCGTCTCAATGTCCGTCATCTTGGCGTCAATATGTTCGAGTGGCTTGTAGGATGTGCGATCTTTGCCAGCAGTTTGTATGCAGGCTAAATTTCAAACGAAACGAAAAATGAAAATAATGTCAGCACTAAATTGGATAGCGAATATTGTTTTTTTAAAAAAAAAAAAAAGGTTTTGGACATACATAATAGCAGATCCGGTCACAGGGGAAAGGTAAAGAATGATTAACTGTCCTAATTAACCTTTAAATAATAATGCAAAAATATTAAATTTATGATTATATATAATCAAGCCTTACTACGAAATTATGACTTTGGATGCCTCTAGGCCATGAAAGCAATTAACTACCAAAATACGAAGTCTCCAATAAATGAAATCATAATACGATATTTTCGAATGAGTTGATCTCTGGTACACTCTTCGGACCAAATTTCTCACCGTTTCAATCTTTCGCAAAGCCCACCCATATTTTGGGGTTTAAATGTAGCCAAATTAGCTGTGCCTTCCTCGGAAAACACGGATCTAAAACTAACGTCTCCAGAATTTTATCAAAAGCTTAATTTTGTTTGCTTTTAGAAAAATGATTGAAAATGATCCATTATTAAAACTGAACAGGTTGAACTTTTTTCATTTAAGTTTATACCAGTCTTTACCTGACACTTCATTCACACGCCAAAGGGTTTTAATAAGATTTTTAACTTTCTTGCTTTCAGAAAATTTATTTTATTTTAACATAAAAACCGAGTTATAAATAAATATAAAAGTTGAACCTGATACCTAATCCTGCCTATACAATCAATCAATTAACGCCTGAAAGTATAGAGGATTCCAACACAACACACTAATCAAGCTGTTAAGAAAATAGCGGCTAAATTAGCGCACTTAATAGTTGTTGGTTAATAATGAATTGAATAATACAACAACAGATTATATAGCTGATGTTGGCGCAGTGGTAGAACACTCGCCTGTTAAGTCAGGATCTGTTGATTCGATCCCTGCCATAAGAAGTCTGATGAGGAGATGTGGTGATCTCCGAAACAGCTGTCACTTCTACCATTTTTCTTTGTTGTATAACAAATATTCAATTCATACAAACAACAAGGCCTCGTAGTTGGCTTAATAAAAATAAATACGAGTTTTTTTCGAATAATAATATATTCCTTGAAAATATTACCATTTGCCATACGTTCGACCAAAATAAATAATAATTTCGGTTAAGTAGTTTCGACGTTCAATGGAGTTTCAACGAGTACAAACGTCGTCACATTACCGTTCTCCCACACAAATTTCACCTCTTTTTTTCCTCCTTAAAAGTAGAGTTTTGTAAAGTGTCTTTTTCCTGGCTTAATTTAGAATTTAGATATAGAAAAAGATATTCTCCTCTGAAAATAGCAGAAACTATTAAGAGGATGAGGCTCATCTAAAGTTCAATCTCATGAGTCTATAGATCTTGCTCTTTAAATTTCGAACGGCGGAGCGCTCGGTTTGCACGAGACATTCATGATTTACTTGTTTAAGTGTCTCGTTTCCCTGTTTGCTGATAAAAATAAAAGTGAAAAAGTCTCAGCATAACCAATCGCAAATTACATGTTTCCAAATGAATCGGAGGCAAATAGTTCTTCTGACCTACAATCACTCTAGTTATAGACTTTCGAAAGTTGCATTACAAATTTGTTTTATGTCGAACATAAACTTACTCTCCCAGGATGTGTCAAAGTAAAAAAATAAATTAAAATGTAGGAATTTTTTTCCTCTTTATTATTAGCGATTTAATAAGAATTTTCAATAATTCAAAAGGAGCACGTCAAAAAATAATGGTCTAATTAATTCAAAATTCTTTAAATTCCAAAAAACGTCATTTCCAGTTTCAGGTTTCCGAAAAATTGGTGGGTTGTCACGGAGTGAAAGGTTTTAAGGGTGCAGCAATCGCTTTATGCTTCTGACCAGTTCCATCAAGGTATCATCTTCTAGTGAATGATTGAACCACATATAAATTTTATTTTATATTTTATATTTATATTTATTATAAATTTTTAGCAAATTGCAAATCACGTTGATTTGATCTTAATTGGATTGCCAACTACGTGCAACAGATCGAATTACGAATTTAGGTATTTTATATTGGACAGCCTAGCAACTTTTAAGTTGTATGATAGATACCTCAGCGGCATTGCCATGAAGAAGAGAAAGTCGTCAGTGGTAACCACTTGGCAAACGAAATTCCATACCGTGGTAATCACTGTACTTTCTTCTATAAGATCTGGCTAAATCACTTAGTCAAACTCAAATGAATACAACTAGAGGTTGCTACCTGGGCTTTCTAATGAAGTAGATCCCTTCCTCTGCTTTGAAAACTCTCAAAGCTGGAGCATTCTTATTCATCGGGACCACATGATTGTTTCTTGATTAGCTGTACTATGTCAAAGTCGCCGTATATCTTACACAGCTCATCGTTCCATCGTCTGCGCTATTCGCCGCACCCAGTTCGTAGAGGGCCATAAATCTTTTTTCGCTTCTCTCAAAAACTCCTAACACCGACTCATTAGATGTTGTCACGACCAAGCTTCCGCACCAGGACGGGAACTATGAGCGACTTGTAAAGTTTGGTCTTCGTTTGTCGAAAGCGAACCTAACTTTTCAATTGTCGACTCAGTTCAAAGTAGCATCTGTTGGCAAGTGTGATTCGGCGTCTGATTTCCAGGTTTACTTAGATGTTGTTGTTGATACTGGTTCCAAGATAGACGAAGTTATTTACGACTACAAAATTATGACTGTTTTTTTTGACGTGGGAGCCGAGTTTCGAATGCGATAACTGTTTTTTTGATGACAGAAGCTATTTCGTCTTGTTCTCGTTCAGTACCACACCCATTCGCTTCGCTTCTTTATCAAGCCTGGATAGGGCAAAACTCCTGGTGAGGTTCTTGTAATGTCAATATTATGGACGCTCACCAGTAGCTGTACACTCTTACAGTACATTGTATCTTCTCAGACTATCTCTGCAGCTCTTATAATTATCTCCGGCAATGAAATAAAGAACTCACACTATGAGGAATCACCGTGTCTGAAACCTCGTTTAATATTGTACAGCTCGGACAGGTTTGTTTGTTTCACATATTAAGCAAAATCGAACCATCGAATCGGCCCTAGGGTCACTTCCTGGAAAAAAATTGTTCCAAGAAATGTTAACAGAACAAATCCTTTCTTGTATCTAAGATTAGTGGTTTAGGCTGTTTGTTGTTCAATCAGTCAAGACAAAGAAGAAGAAGTTACTCTCGCAACTGTGAGTTTTTGGCGTCTAAAGTTTATCAAGCTAAAAGTTCAAAAACTGTTTCCATGCCAAACGAACTAACTCATCCCTGAAAACCAAATCCGTAATTTTTTAATATCTTCGTCTCAAGGTTCCTAAAAATAGGTATATTCCCTGTACTTGTTCGTATAAATACATTTATCCCACTTTACTTTAGCTCCGGTAATTATTCAAACAATTTTGTTCCTTTTTTATGTTTGACAGAAAAACAATTAGCCGTGCCAAGTGCTAATTGATTTTCGAATTCATTAATCTCAATGTAAGAAATGAAAAAAGTATGGGCAAGAAGACGCCGAATATCTATGTAAATGCGACAAAATGACACCAAAATTGTCTTAAATCCAACCAACTGTTGTTACAACGAGAGATCGAGAGCACTAAGCTAGCAAATCAAAGTACATACGAGTACATATATATGTAAATATACTTATAAAAATCAACAGCAAAAAATGGAAAACGAGAAGTAGACAGGAACGGCATACCGTTGCTACGATCGAGACAATTAATGGCTTGCCGACCTGTTACGGTGCAGAGGTCAACTTGTGGGGCTCTCCTACTTTGCGTTAGTTTGTGTGAGAATCGACTGAAGATTGAAGCACAAATACAACTCTGTGTTTTAAGCACAAAAAAAGAGGAAAACCTATTTGTTTATTTCGAAATTAAGAAAGCACTTTTAAAAAACCAAAATTGTATGGTGTGGTCGGTTCTACTATGTAAAGATAGCACATTAGGTTTGTTCGGCTAACGGTTGTATTAAAGGCATAAAATGATCGATCGCATTTGATGGAAAAATAAGAGAGAAGAGAAAAAATTTCAGCACGGGCCTAGCAGCAGACAATTTGGGTTATACCATTGGATATGAATAAAATTTAAAAGAGTTCGAATTGTATGTGGGTACATTATAACCGACTTTTACTCTCCACACACCCCTTAAATCAAGATCAATTATTTTAGGTATTAATCAATAGGCGGCCGCAAAAGCCGAATGGTTAGCAAATATTCGGAAGGCCAGAAATTTAATTCTTTTTAATTTTCTAATTGCGTTCGGCCCTCGGAAGGGGAGATGCCAAGCCCGCCGAGTGTCTTTCAGACATGAAAATCAAAACTTCTCACAAAAATTCATCAACCTTTCGGATGGGGGCTGGGCGTAAAGTGTATATCGCTCTGATTGTTGGTAAAATATCAAGAAGGACAGACAATACAAGTCGGAAAGGAAGCTCGGCCCAAAATCACGCTTCAGCGGTTACAAAGCGCCAATTACACAACCCAACTGTGTGGGTATGCTTCTTTTAATGCGGACTAAAGCACTGCCATGGCATACCACCCACGAAACAATTTCTTCTATTTATAAGCGATCTGTTCGGCGAGAAGAGAATATTTTTTTTCTTTCAAAGTTTCAACTTTAAGTAGACCAAATAATCTATGTATATCTTCCATGTTATGGCAGTCTACAGCAACGTGGCTACCAACACGCAGTTGTGCTGGCTTCAGGAATGCTTCTTCTTACCGCTTTTCTCTATCCTAGCACCTATTCGCTTCGCCACTTTAACCTTTTATGCGCTAGCGAACGCCAATGGGGATCCTTTCCTTATGCAGAGTAGACTTCATTTTTTATCGTCGGACATAAGCTAATTAGTTCTTGGTCTCCGGTTTTGAAAAGTTCAAATAGAAAGTCATTGGGTTTCGCCGAACTTCGTCACAGTCAATTAAGGGGTTACATAGGTCCTGAAGGCAAAAAAAAGTTATTTTCTCTAATTTTTTAAAAGATACCAAATAAAG